CTAGCTACTATGAAGAAAATTAAGTCTATCCCAGCCAAAACCAGCACAAAGACAAATATAATTTTGGAGAAAAAGGGAATTCACTGTATGGTGAGCCCAAGCTAGGACCCATTTATACTGGTTTTAAATTGCTGGACTTATTTTTGATCATCACTGGTATGAAATCAGACCAAGGGAGCACTGACAGAACACCTGGTCTTCTGCTTGGGCTGGGTTCCTCCTGTCTGTGCTGCACGCCTTCCTGCAACGTTTTTCCCGGGGTTGTTGTAATATTCTTCCTACAGTAAAAGAAAAGAGAAATATGAGTAGGTCATCATGGGTAGAAAAAGAGCTGGCTGCAGCGGAGACGTGTGCCATCCCAGCCCCTGGGGCACGTTTGACTGTCTCAGCTGAGCACATCACTTCGCTCCCGAGGTCGTGCGTGTGAAGGCAGGAGACACAGGCTGGGTAATTGCCGCTTTTCTCTCCAAAACTCGGTTTAGTAGTACTTGTAGGGACATCCTGTTCTTCTCTGCCTGCAGGAATCATTTTACATGTGTCCGCCTGCTTTAGCTTCCACTTGATTTCTCTATCTACCTAGAGCTTGGAGTTGAATAGATAGGTAGATAGGTTTGAAGTTATCCTCTTGTGCATGAATGCGTGTTTTTTTCAGATAAAATTCTCTGACATCTCAAACTTCTATCTTGAACATGTATTAGACAAGTTGTTTCATATATATATATATATATATATATTTGCAGTGCTCACAAAGTGATAGCTCCATTGAAGCTTCTGTTAGAAAACGCTTTTTTCCTGCACAGGCTGGAGGCAAGGGGAGGGAACAGGTTTGTAAACCAGCCTCACAAGCTTGCTCTGACCTGGAATTCAGTTCACTCCAGGGTGAATTCTCAAACGCAGAGAGGTAGAGAAGATAGTCTCGTCTTTGGGCCACCAACCCGGATTTGAGATGCATGGTTTCCACTGCCTCGCCACATGCCTGCACCCTCCTGTGCTTCCAGTGTCCCTTTTCTGGGTGGAAAAAGAAGCAGCTGCCCGTCCACCCACCCCATGCCATGATTCCTCGTCTTTTTGTGGAGCTTCTCAGAGCCTCTCCTGCTCCATCACCTGATGGTCGTGCTGGGCTGGTGTCCTGGAGGCAGTTTCACAGCAGGGACCATAGCAGACTCACAGTGGGAGGTGATGTGACCTCCTTCCTCCAGTCTGCCACTCACAGATTTTCCCCAGGTTTTGCATTACCCATTTTGCATGCTGACTTGTGGCTGGTTCCAGTGCAGCCTGCATGGAAGCTCATCCAGCATTCCTTGTTTGCTGAGGAATTACTTCGTGTCTGACCACACCAATTGCCCATGTGCAGTTCACCAGGTGATGCAGATCACCCCACATCCGTAATCTATCTTTTTGCTGTTAATCACACATCCAAAGTCTGTGCCTTCTGATGATGATCTTGTTTTTTTCCTCAAATGCATAACATGAGACCAAGGACTTAGAACCGGGACTCTTTCAGAATTACTTTAATCTACTGGTAGTTTTCTTTTATAGTTACCTTTAAAGGCCTGTTGTTCAAACATTTTCCCTTCACCTATGATGTGCCAGGTTAATTTTTGTTTGTGTTCAGTACCTAAGCTGTCACAGAGTACCAAGCAATTTATTTTATAGAAGTCTGTTACACGTTAGAATATAATATCAAGTTAGCAAACAGGTACCTTCATGAACTCACACTGCATTGCATTTAGTGTATTATTTTTTATATCTATTATGAATTGAACCCTAAACCAGCACATCATTGTTCCCAGGATCTGGGCCAGCCTAGGGTTTGGCCAGGTGATTTTACTTTTGAAAAATCAGTATTATGTTGACAGTTGTCCAGCACCCTGCAACTTCCCAGACTTATTGAAAATTCATATTAACGTTCCAGTGTTAAGGCTTTTGGGTAGGTTCTCTTACATTTACATAAATAAACGTTTAACATGGCTGAAACTGAGACTAGCTCTGAGGTGGGAAAGGAGCAAAGCATGAGTAGGGTAGACAGGACTGCTCAGCCTCAGCGCTCAATAGAATCACCAACCAAGAGCCTTGTGGTGGCTTTGAGAAGGCATCAAGCACTCAGGTTCAGGGTAAAAGATCTGCTAAAACTAGAAGGAAGACTAACTTGGGAACTTTGCTCCTCCGTCTCTTCCAGCACCACAAACTGGGAAAAGTCGTGCTGAAGGAAAACCCGAAGGAAACCCTGGGAAAGGAAATGGGGATCAGATGCAAAGTTGAGGGCCATCTCATGGTCTGACTGGGGAGCTCAGAAAGCCACGCACCAACTCCCCAGCCCTCAGACAGGGGCTGCAACTCCATGTTCCTCTGTTGGGGGGGTTGGATCGTACGTGCATAAGCCCCCAGGGAATTTCGAGGTTAAATGTCACTCTCAGGAATGCAGTAACTTCACTTCTTTTAAATACATTTTCAGCCCTTTGCCGGTGATTAAAGTTCAAGGTCAAGATGCATCTTTCCTTGTGGACATTTGCTTTGATTCCTGATGTGCTTTGCTGAAAAACCTCAAACGTACAGCAAAGGAGGTGACAGCATGTCAGAGAACTACGTGTTTAGTTCTAGCAGTGAGTCAATCAGACATCTAGGCAATTACCCTCTGCTCAGGATGACAACTGAGAGATGTGTTTATTCTGTCTCCAGGAATCTCTGTTATTTTAGGATCCTTTCCAGAGTGCAACCAGTGCTAACTCGTCAGTATGTGGAGACTCTTGTTTATGCTTTGGTTTCCTATCTGGGTGGGATTATTCAGTTACTGACTTGCTGGCCCCCACTCAACCTTTTAAATTCATTTCTACCTTCCACACAATTTCTTGGCAGGAGCTACAGGCTGTCTAAGCCCTAGCCCTCATATCTTCATCTGTGCTGATGAATCTTTTATCTGCTTTTCAAAGGGTATTAGCTCTTCCATGAGCTGTTAGGTGGCACCTCGCTATCACTGCTAAGACTCCTGCGTTCAGCTGGGTTTGGCATCTCCCACAGCCTGACGCAGTGGTTTGCTGGTCCTTCCCAGAGCCTCTCACCATGATGGATGGCCCTTGCAGAGACAGGACTCACTCTGCTTGTGCGGTGGGATCCCCGTGTAAAACCCTGCTCTCCTTTACATCCCTATGAAGTCGTTGACCTCAGAGGTGTTGCTGCAGGTCTGTACGGGGATACCTGAAAGCCAGCTACCACCCGTCCCCTCTATATATACTGTAGGCACACCGCAGACAGCGGCAGCTACAAGTCCTGCCTGAATATGATTAGCAAGCTAAATATTTTCTGCTCCATGGGAGTACCCAGTGCCATATAAGCTGGAGGCTTCCCTCAGGCAATGAACAGATGAGTTTAGCTGGAACAGACTTTGTTATCTTTTGACACTTTATTGGGCAATCAGTTACTTCTGTGAAAGAAAAGGTGTTTCTGATGGTGTTTGCTTTTCTGAGCGATGCAAAGCCTCTGACAAGCTACAGAAGTGAACCCCGCCGCTCAGCTCAAGGGTGGGCCACCATTAGCCCCCAAAATGTCCCTAGCTGGGGCAGGAGTTACAAGCAGCCTACATACAGTGAACTCAAGCTCCCCCTTTTTATTTGAAAATGATTCAATATAGTCACCTGTACTGCCCCAACCAAGCAAGCCTCGGGACCCCCAGCTCCCACCGAGACCCCCCAGCGTGAACCCGGAGTCAGGTGCTGCAGCATCGTGGGTGGGATGGCACCCGAACCACCCGCAGAGGCAGCCCTCTCCTACCCTGCTCAAACCTCTCCCTGCTCAAACTCTCTCCCCACACACCCACTTCTCCCCCTGTGAGGCTGGAGGACAAAGAGGGGGTTTTGCAGGTTCAGGAGGCCTTTCTTTATTTCTCTTTCTGGAAGCCTGGTTATTATAGCAGTAGCCTCTAGCTACATCTGTGAAGAGGAGCACCTCCACCAGGCATCTCCTGTAATAATGACTTCTTTTTTCTTTGAACTTGCAAGGCACTGTTGTATGACATTACGAAGGTGAATCCAAAGAGGACCATAGATGTAGGGTCATTCCAAGTAAACCCTGACGGCACACAAGAGAGGAGTAAGGTAACAGAAAAATGATATGACAGCACATAATTGCTGATATGTGCAATTACCAACCACTTATCCAAACAGCAGTTGGTCTTAATCTTACAACCTTTTTTCTTGCTAAGGGTATCAGCCACTAAATTGCTTCTGCTTCCTCTGGGACCCAAAGTAATCTTTAGGCTTGAAATTGAGGTATTTTCCTTCCTTTTCAGTACCTACATTTCTTTGCCTTTTTAATATTTGAAACAGTATTGTTCCATTGTTAATCCTGATAAAAAATAAATCAGAGCTACACACATTATTAAGACAGAGAAAGAAAAAGGGAGAACGAGAGGGAGAGAATATATGTTCTACCTAGAAACAGACCATTATCTCATCAGGCATTGCACTGGAGGTCCAAATACTGTCCATTGCTGTCCATGGGCTTCTTGTGGGTGCTGGATACCTTCAACTTCCATTGCCCGTGGTGGGAACTGAGGGTGGTCAACATTTTGCTGGATCAAGCCCTCACATTGCCAACTTCCAGGAGCAGAGCTTGGCTTACTCTATATATTTTGCAGCATGGAAAATAGAGATCATACTAGACAAATGTAAATAGAAAAGCCTCTGGAAACATTTGGTGAGCTAGGTCATTCAGCAAATATTTCAGAGGATTGTTGTTGACTCAGATAATGGACTTTTCCATCATTGCTGTCTGTAAATTAAAAGGCTTAAGAGAGTATTTAAGGCATAATGAAGATGAAAGCTTCTTTGTAAACAGCAGCAGCCTTCTCGAGATGATGCTTCTCAGGCCCGGCTTTACATGTCTATTCCCAAGCTATCACTGAGAAGCACTGAGGACCAAGCTGACCAAGCTGTCCAAGGATACATCTGGAAAGAGGCCACAGCTTTCCAAGGCAGCAGGAGGTGAGATGAATTGGAAGCTAAGACGTCTGAGTCTTCTGAAGTCCAGCTCCAAGAAGTTTATCTTTACTGTCAGTGAGAACTTCAGGCTCAGGGTACCATTGTTGCCAACAGCAAGAGACCAGCTTAAGGTCAAGTAAGATTAATAGCTAAGAGAAAGTGAGAGGAGGACACAGTGGCTTGCCTGGCATTACATGGTTAGTCTATAGCAGAACAAGCGATAGCTCCTGGGGTGCTCCTGGGGTGGTCCCAAATCAGCACCCCAACCCTTGGGCCTTGCTGCCTCTAACAGCGTGGTCGGTGTCAGCCTTCAGGAGTGGGCTGATATGTGTGTGCCTTCCTCACGTTGAGCAAGAAAGTAATTTCAGCGCACAAATGATGTCTGGATGCGGGCAAGAGAATGAATGGGTGCCCACACCTGCCTGTGGACACACAGACACACAGGACCTGACTGCAGTAGAACTTGGTACGGTAAGTAAAGCAACACAGATAACTGAGCGTACATTAATAAAGTCTGACTCCAGCATTGCATACTGCCATTCCTGTTTATTCATATGTTGACCCCAATATTAACAGTACATATTTCTTAAACAAAATCCATGTCCTGCACTGCTAATTGTTAACATAACAGAGGGTTCGTGAACCCATCTTTCATCACATCACTTAAACATTATTTAAACAGTATTTCATTACATTTATTTCTTCAGAGGTAAAAACATTTCCTTGCTATGCCTGTCAACTTATTTGAAAACTAAGTATCTAAATTGCAGTAGTTTATTTTTCACAATGATTTCTATATTGTTTCAGTATTAGCCTTTGAGAATAAAACAAAAAATGTAGCCCCCTGTTGTCTTAACTTTGGGATATCAGAAGACTGCTTTCCCAGGAAAGAAATATTGGCTGACTTGTTAACAGAGTGGGTTTTAGACCCTGTTTTGGATCTTCAAAAGTGAGCAAGGGAGTTAGATGCCCAAACCCAGTGACTTTCAATGAGAAATGGTTACTTAAAATTCAGAGACCTCCTTCAAAAGCTCATCCTTAATCTCTTCAGAACAATTTCTACTTCATTGTAATTAACTGTGGATTTAGACTTCAGTATAAATTTACCTTGACTAAAATTTACAAAAGCATCCTGAAGTCCTATTTTCAGAATGGCTCAGGCCCAAGAGAGCCCAAGCTCTACTGGAAGTCCCCAAAGTTACTAATGCCATATCTGAAGTGTGGCACTGGAGATCTTTCCTGAGCTCCTGAGTTCAGATGTTTGCATCTGCCACATCCAATTTCCATCCCACAGGGAGGTCTGTGCACCCATCGCCTTCCCTCCCACCAAGAGCTAGGGGTGTGTGGGCTAGAGAAGGGCTGAGGTTGCTTCTGCTCGTTCTGGACCTGGCAAAGGTGACCAGGATGGTGAGATGTGCAGTGAAGCCTACCTGCCCACACTCCCTACATAACCCATGTCTCCCACGGCCGTCAGGTTTAGGAAGCTCAAGCTGCTTCAGTGTTTTAAAAAATGTAATTTCTTTTGTCTTTCTAGGGTTTTTGGCCATGATCTGTTTTGGTCTGATGGGTTGGACAATTAAAGGAATGCATTTTATTAGGATATTGCTCTTCAACAAGAAGGGAAAGGTTTGGCTTGGTATGAGTGAGTAGGGGTTCATAATGGACCTTGAAGTGGATGTAGGGAATGGATAGATGTGGACATAGGGTTTCTCTTTTCATCTGAGCTGTTAACTGTGTAACATGTAGAACTGGTTTTAAAAGAGTGTCATAATTTTCTCCTGTCTATTGATTGCTCTTCCACTTTGGCAAAGAAAGTCACTGGGTCAGTGAAACCCAGCATTGAAAGCAATGCCAGAAAAGCAAATTAAAACCTCCTCTGGAAGCTTTAAATTTAAGATTCCCATTTCCCTTGGTGTGATTGCAGGAGTTTCAATTCTAGGCTCTGTTTCTGCAGAGTTCTGCATGTTTTTATGCACATGAGCCACCCTGTAGACCTCTGTATTATCACAATCCCAGCGTGCTCCTATGTGTTCTCAAAATCAGAGCTGCAATCCAGGGGCTGGCTCTCACTGCTTCACTGCAAATTGCTACTGGGTGGCAAATGGTTTCCTGCCCCAGGAAAGAAAAGAAGAAGTCTTTCAAAGGTTCTCCATCCTACACTGGAAAGAAACAAAACAAACAAAAAAAAGGAAGCTAAGAAAAGCCTGTGCTTCATGTTTTCCAGCAGGCCGGTACTGGTAGCTCCTACTGTCTGGTCAGCCCCAGATTAAGATTTGCCATCTACTGAATCACACAAGAGTCTTGAATTTTTTAGGTTGGGGTTTTTTGTTTTTTTTTTTTAATTCAGAAAACACTGATTTGCTGATGATGACAGTTTTTGGAAGAATCACATGAACCAGCTCTGATAACAATTTCATAAGGGCAAGCTTTTCAGTTCCAGGAGGTCATTCATGTGCAAGGCTGGACTGCCACCTAGACAGAGCAGTTATTTAGAAAGAGGAGGTTAGGTGGGCAAGTCTGTGCTGGTAACCAACAAGGCTAGGACCAGTTCCCTGCCCCATAGTCAAAAGGTATGACACGAGTTGTGTCTGGATCCATGCTAAACACTCTTCACCCTAAAGTGCTCACTGTATCCTGCACTGTCTCCAGACAAATACCTTAATACTCTTAAATAGTGATATCTGGGATGAGATCAATTCAATAATATGGACGATACAAGATCAGTGCCTGAGCCCATGTGTGACACTTGGCAGCCAGAGCCCTGCCTAACTCCAGCTCTCCCTTTTGGGTACCACGGGCATCAGCAGCATCAGTGCCCCCACCATTGGGGTTGTTGGACATTTTTTGGCACCTCGATCTCTGATTTTCCCTGGCAGAGTATTGATTATTCTGGGATTCATCTTTTTTCTTGTTTTTGAACAGAAAATTCATCCTAAACCTGAGAAATTTTTTTTATTAAGCTTTTGTGAGGCTTGTTACATTCTGTAATCAGTTTTGGTTCCAGCAAATCAGGCTGGATGCCAGTGTGTGTACAGAATAAAATACACTTCAGAGCAACCTCCCTACAAACAGCCCTCCCAGTCAGAGTCTCATCCTACATTTCTGCCTCCGATTTTGTGTTGCTTGTCTAATTATGTTGGCTGCTGTGTAATTATTTTCATGGAACAATAATTTTAACAGCATGCAGTTTATCAGAGGTGCAAATTATACGTAATATCATACAGCAATTTTCAGCTAAAACTTTCATAACGTTCAAAAGTCCCTGCATTTTTCAACAAATTGAAGAGGAAAGAATATTCTCCATTTTGTATCCTTCCTTTCTCTTTTTCTTAGAGAAAACAACCTACTGATTATCTTGGAGTCAGTTAAACCCATTTGAAATAAAGCACTTTTATTTTGGAACAAGACTGTCCACATGGGGAGTTAATCAAGAATAATTATTCCTCTCTAAATTCACATCCTCGAATAATTTGAATTAAATCCCCACTATAGACAAGCCCTAAATGTCAGAGGAGGTTAAAAAAAAAGTCAGCTAGAGGAGCTCTATCATATCAGAAAGCAATGAGAATAAAAACCTTGTCTAGGCACCCAGGCCAGGCCGGCGAGGAAAGCCATGTCAAGACTGATTCAGACTCATTCACCACACTTGATTACACATGCACTTGCTCAGTGCTTTGAAGTCAATCACATATACATTTCAGTAGCATCATCTGTACGTACACACTGTGGCGGTGATAGCAGTGTCAGGGAGGGGGATACTGCAATCATCAGAAGAGAGCAAGTTGAAACATATTTCAGGGAAAGAATTTTGCTCAGGGATGCCTTTTCCCCTTGCTTTTCCAGCAGGCTGAAGGCAACACAACTCGCAAACCCTTCAAAGGTGGGAAACTATGGGGAATTTAGGCAGATCTGCACTTCCACCTCAGATTTGCCAAACTCAGGTTTTATTAAAACCCAAGCTTTGCTTTCCGATTGCTACCAATTGAGCAACAAGGTTTGTAGCCATTATTTCTCTAAAACAACATTAACGCTGTGGTGCCTTTGCTGTGCCAAGGGCCAGTGGTTGCAGCAGCCTCCGGAGAGTCTGAACGCGGGATCAGGTCCCCCCGTCCTCT